TGCATACTTCTACATCTTCATCGTTATTTCATAGTTACGTGTGACAAGAAGGTGCCTCTAAAACTTAAGGAAAAATTTTATAGAATGGTAATAAGACCAGCGCTGTTGTATGGATCAGAATGTTGGGCAATCAAAAAGGATCACATAAGGAGGATGGAGGCCGCAGAAATGAGAATGCTTCGATGGGCATGTGGTAGGACTCTATGGGACATGACACCAAACTCTGCATTTAGGATGTCATTGGGGGTAGTGCTTGTATCCGAAAAATTGAGGGAGGGAAGACTACGGTTGTAACACCCTCAACCCGCACCCGACCCGGATACGAGTCCGAGGTGTCACATTGACTTTTCAAACTTTGACTATTGACGAAAAATCAAGGAAATTTAAAACTTTCATTAAAATAACATTATTACTTTACACAAGTTAACCAAAACAAAACAAAACTGATTAGAGCATTTGTAACAGACACTTTTCTTACATGTCAACCATATATACGACAAAAGACATACTTTATCCGTTACTTCTGATCTGATCTTCTAGTAGTGATGCTGTTCTTGCAACCCTATTTCCACTATTTCTGATTCTTGGTACCTACGTGTAAATCACTTACATGCTAAGTCATAGACTTAGTGAGACATATAAATATAACAATAATTCATTCAGTATGAATATGAACATGCAATCTATCCATTCAATCCTGTCGTATACAATTCAATGTAAACAATAATAATATGATAACATATAACTATAACAATGTAATTACCTTTGATAACCTTTTATAGGCCCATGTACATTTTTTAGAACTCAAGGTATTCGAGTACATTGAGGTTGTGAACTATGCTGTCACCACAGCTCGTATGGGTCCCACTAGGGGCTATGAAATTTGTCCTGAAGAACCTATGATTGTATTTGTCCCAAAGGACCACTCCTTAAGAACTATATACATATTCCCGTGGATCAGATCTGTCTCAAAAGACATTGTAAATGTTCCAAAGGATACATATACGTCCCGAAGGACCACGTAGAACCCTCGACTCTTGGCATGCCAACTATACCTATAGCTCTCATATCGTATACCATGGGCATTATTCTTATGTTTCATGTGTTCATGTGTTCATGTCATTTCTCTTGTGATCACATAGCTCATATCACTTATCATATCACATGTGCATTTGGGTCTTTTCACATATATCATTTATCAAATCATATGGACATATATACTTTATGCATGTATCATAATAATTATCATGTATGCATGTTCATAACTATTGTGCTATGAAAATCAACATATGAATTAGACTTATCACAAGTCTTATTCCATTATACCATACTTCTAATATATACTCACCTTAGCCTTGCTTGACTCGATTCTAATCCTTCAATTGTTCCGGAACGAGATCACGTTCTAAATCTACATATTAATACATTGATACATATCAGTATACTAATTGATATATTCTAAACTATCATTCCTTAGGCTAATAAGAAAGCTATTTTTATCTTTTAATGAAGGCATGCATCGATACATCCCTTGACAGGTGCATCAATGCACTATTCATGCATCGGTGCATAAATCCTATTTAATGTTTGTATTTTAAGCAGGTGAATCGATGCACTCCTTATGCATCGATGCACTGATTGCATTCGATGTTCATTTATTTGAGAGTACATCGATGCACATTGAAGATGCATCGATGCATACAACCCAGAATTTACATTTTAAGCACGAATTCACTCTCTTTCTGCTTAATTCTTCATCTTTCACCTCCTTTAAATATTCCTAACTTTCATATACATATTTAAACTCACTTCTACTCCATACTCACTTCTTTAAACTCAAAATTCTATCTTCCATATGAAATCCAAGAATCATACTAAATTTTCTACTTGTTCTAAATTCAATTCCATCACTTCATATCCCTTAATTAAGTGGATGACAAGTCAAATTTGTCTTCCAATATGAGTAATGAGCTCTATTCCAAGATTTCATTCAAGAACTCAAAATCTTTAATCTCTCATATACCTTTCATCTTGTTGTTTAAGAACAAATTAAACTTTCCTTAAGCTTAATTATCATCTAGTGATCATAACCCAACCTTTAAATCAACCAATAATCAAGAAATCACAAACTTACCTTTGAGCTTGGAGATACGGGAGGAAGAAGAAGAAGAAGAGAGTTTCCCATATAACTCTTTCTTTTCCCCCACGTGTTTCATTCTTATAAAATGGGAAAAAATATCTTTCTTATCAAATGACCAATTTGCCCTTTAATTCATTCAATAATTACCAAACAACCTTTAACTATATTTCCAATAAGTCATTAAACTATTAAACTATTTTACTTTTATCACCAAATTTCAAAAATTCTCATTTTAGTCACTGACTCGGATTTCGGGATGTTATAACGGTGGTTTGGGCATGTCCTTAGGCGACAACTGTTAGATGCGGTCAGGAGGTAGAGTCGATTACAGTCGAGGGTGCCAGAAGAAGAGGACGACCAAGGAGGAAGTGAGTAGACTGCTGGAGATCTGATTTGAAGGATTTAGTCCTTATCGAGGAAATGACCTCTGATAGGAAATTATGGAGACTTAAGACTAGGGTAGCCAAGTAGTGTGGGTCACAGCCATAGGGTGTAGCATCTCTGTCTTCTTTTTAATGCATTTGTAGTAATTTCCAGGACTTCTACTTTTTATACGTTTCTGTCATTGGGATATATGAAGGCTTAGAACTAGGGTAGCGGAGTAGTGTTGTCTTAGTTTAGGTTTTAACCCATTTGGCTTTATTCTCTCTCGTAGCTTGCTATCAATGACTTCTGTATATCATTTTCTTCATGTTTCCTCCTTTTAAATTTAGCCGGGTCTTACGTTTCTGTCTATATGCAGAGATTTTTACGTAGAGAGTTATTTGCAGGGATTACTTCCTATTACAGACGCGCATATGAATATTGCATATGAAGACTGTTCAACTATATATTTATTTATTTGTTTATACATACATTGTATCTATTCTTTATTTTTAATTTTCTGACTGCATGAGGTCTTCCACGAAAACTGCTCTCAACCTAGCGTCAATGACAACCTACTATCCTACCTCCCTTTGCCCCATTGTATATGAGAATAGGGTTTTGTTGTTGTTGTATTATCCTTCCTTTTTTTTTTTTTCCTTAACAATTCTCTCAAAGCCTCTTTCACTTTAACTCCTACCGCCGCTTTAGGTTTTATTTCATCATTTCTTGTACCTCTGTTTTTCATTATTTCCTCTGTTGCTTTCATATCGTTTTGATATGTGTATTTGCAATTCAATGGTGGGTTGTCCTTGTTCAACATTGTATCCAGATTCTCTAGAGTAAAAAAACCCAGAAATCCAAACTCGAGAAAAACTTTAACAAAGAAAATCTCTTGTTTTCCCTGAGATTTGCTGTTTTCTTTCCCCCTGCAAAAAAGAAGCTATCTTTATCTTTTTCGTCTTTTGTTTTTGGTGTTGTAAATCTTGATGCTAAATAAATTGTTGGTGTTTGAGATTTCATGTCTCCGGTTGTGAGTGAAATCCTCCGGTCGGGGTTTATGATAAATTCTTCTCTCAGACGCAGGACCCATCTCGTTCAATCTTTCTCAGTCGTCTTCCTCCACTGGTTCTATGTTTTTCATAAATAAACTATCTGTAATCGCTTGATTTTCATTTCATATGCATACAACACAAAATAAAATCAAACATATAAACCTCTGAATTAGCTAAACATAATTAGAATCTGGGTGCTGTCGTCTTTCATCAGTGATTTTGGTGTAAATATATAAATATGGCTTCGTCTAGTGGAAATTCAAACTCTCCAGGTTCAACTCTGCTTCAGAATTCAGGGTCTGAACAGGATTTGCATCAGTTGATGGATCAAAGGAAAAGAAGGAGAATGGAATCGAACAGAGAATCAGCAAGGAGGTCCAGGATGAGAAAACAAAAGCATTTAAATGATCTAATGGCTCAACTGAATCGGCTAAGGAAAGAAAATTATCAAATCCTCACGAGCATCAACTTCGCCACCCATCAGTACTTGAACATGGAGGCTGAGAACTCAGTTTTGAGAGCTCAGATTATGGAACTAAGCCAAATATTGGATTCTGTAAATGAGATCCTTGACTATTTCAATAATCCCACAATATGCAATTGGGTTTATGATTTATGAAAGTCAAGCTTTTGAAACAACTGCTGAAAGCTTCACCAACTTCATCAACCCTTCCAATTTGCCTTGCCTTAACCAACCAATTGTGGTCTCTGCAGATATGTTTCAGTATTGAATTGGGAACTAGAAAGCAAGAGCTGCCTGCCAAATATAACATTTTGGGTCTCTTTTTTCTTCTTCTGGTATATATAAGGTGGTGTGGAGGGTTTATTACTGTAATATTAAACTCCTTCACTTGTGTGTCGTCTTCTTCCTTCCAATCTTCATAATTATGGTGTCTTCTCTTTGGTGTTCTTTCTCTTGGTTGAAAAAATGCATTCATTTGCCAAGACATGTCAGAGAAAACCAGATAGGTAGATTTCAACTTTGAACATTACTTGAACAACCTTAAGTAAGATTATGACAAATGAAAATACATGAACATGATATTAATACACCAACTGTCAACTGAACAAAAGCTAAGAAAAATCAGATACTGTATAAAAGTCTGACCTTTAAGAAGGTAGCATCAACATTACTTGCTATAGCTAACAGCTCTCAGTTATTTTAACCAATTTGTTAATTAAATTTCGGTTCAAGTTTAAGATATAATCCCCAACTTTAATTTGAGATTTAGTTCATTTTAACATTTTAGTGCATTCTAAATTGTTGTTTTAGGGGTGAAGCCTCCTAGGCAACTTGTTTAATTCCTATCCTTTATCATGTTTTGATTTGATTGAACATTGTAAAACAAGTGCACAAGCTACAATTCACAACCACTTTATTATAACAACCCTAACTAAGGCTTAAAATCATTCCATAATGCTGGTGTCAGAAGGTTGAAGGTCTACTTTTCCCATAATTCCAGTTTCTTGGCCTCCATCAATTTTCTTACGGCCTGCAGTTTCAACTGAAGCATATCATCACCAAAGTAATACAATATTCCATGCATCAAGTCTCGAGGTTTTACCTTCATGAAATCATCCTGAATGGCATAATCACGACCTGCACGAAGGGCAAACAATCCAGCTTCCGTACAAACATTTCGTAGATCAGCACCATTAAACCCCTCAGAAAGTTTAGCAACAGCTTCATAGTTAATTTCACCATGTTTTGCCATAGCCGTAGCATGAATCTTGAGGATCTCTGTTCTCGAGTGCTTGTTCGGCAACAGAATCTCTATCTTTTTGTCCAGCCGCCCTGGACTAAGAAGCGCAGGGTCGAGAACGTCAGGTCTGTTGGTGGCCATGATCACCTTAACCTTGTCAAGCTTATGAAATCCATCAAGCTGATTGAGTAACTCCATCATTGTTCTTTCGGTTTCACGGTCACTATCTGACCCTTTACTCGAACAGCGTCCACCGATGGCATCAATCTCATCCATAAAGATAATGCACGGCTGAATAAAAAGAAGCAAACCCACACACATATTAATGCCTTGCACCAGTAGAAACACACATAATTCAAGACTCTTACTTGGTGATCACGTGCATAACTGAACATTTCTCTTATCAGCCTTGCACCTTCTCCGATATATTTGTCGACTATTGCAGTCGAAACGACCTGAATTCAGATGAGCACAAGGTAAAATGCGTCTATTCAAGGATTTCCAAGTAAACACGAAAATACGAAAAATTCTGACCATTAAGAAGGAAGCATCAACATTACTTGCTATTGCTCTGGCTAACAATGTCTTGCCAGTACCAGGAGGACCATAAAGGAGGACACCCTGCAATCTCATCGAAACACCACTCAACCAAACCACCCTTAACCCATCAATTGAAAAGCAAGGAAGGTAAAATCACCTTGGGAGGTTTAATTCCAAGTTTAAGGAAAAGCTTGGGATTCAGAAGAGGGAGCTCAACACAATCTTTCAAATCTTGAAGTTGATCGGTTAAACCACCAAGAGCCGAGTAGCTAATGTTACCTGGATCTTCTTGCACCATTTTGTAAAGAACTGGATCAACCTGTGATCCAAAAATGTACAACAAGGTATCAGACCTCTAGAAAACCTTGCTTCTGCGAAAATTCGGATGCAAATAGCTTACTTCAGGTGGAAGAGTCAGCGTGATCTTAAGCGTGGCCCTGTCAAGAACCACTCTGGTTTTTGAAGTCAGTGTCTCCTTATCGACTCTACTTCCACAACCAACCACAACCCTTCTGGTTCCTGAAGTGAGTGTCTTCTTATTTATTTCGCTTCCGCAACCACCAAGATAGCATTCAACGTCATCGATTTCAACAATAACTAAAACATCATACAGACATTCATCTTTATAGTTATTATCAGTTCTCAAGAAGAAGAAAAAGAGTCAAATGATATTGAAACAAAGGGGGGAGGTGTAGTTACAGCGTTCTTTATCAAGAGGCCTAAGAACTTCTCCAACAAACTGGCCTGCACTCTGAAGATACTTCAAATTGTCTTCCGTCATCTCGAATTCCTTCTTAATGGCATGCAGATCCTCCGTAGCTGAGCATTAATGAGCATAAATACATGTCAAGAATCATCTTATATATTGAGAACATAAAGATTTTAACCAGGCAAAGCAAGAAGCATTCTTTTGTATATCAGCTGATATTGAAAAACAAATCAGTGCTGGAGAAATGAGAAACTGATGGGAGGAGACCTTGTCGAAGCCGGGTTCCCAAGTCTTCCTTGTCAAGGACTTTCTTAATGCTCATCGCTGCTTTCACTCTACGTCGAAATATGATGTCTTCTTTGTTGCTCATTGTGGCAGTCTCTGATCAAACATCAAATGGTTTCTTGAGTTGGAAGAAAGCTTTCCTAGGTTTCTTGAGTTGGAAGAAAGCTTTCAGGTTTCTTGAGTTGGAAGAAAGCTTTCAGGTTTCTTGAGTTGGAAGAAAGCTTTCAGGTTTCTTCAGTTGTGATATTTTTTGGTTTTATAAGGCTTAAATTACATTTTGGTTCTTTTTAACTTGTTATGCTAACCGCTCTCACTTACTTTAACTAATTCCTGAATTCAATTTTGGTTAAATTCTTGTTTTGATTTTTTTATAACCACCTATATTCGATCGATTGATTGACTAATTCAGATCTTGTTTTGATTCTTAATTAGGTCTAAATTTAAAATTTATAATTAAATTTGATAAACTAATCGCTCTCACATATAGGGGGTGTAAACGAACAGAGCGTTTAACGAACTCTTGTAAATCGTTCGTATAACGTTCATTTATTAAGTTAAATAAACAAGTATGAGCAAATTTTTATGTTCACTTAGTATACAAATGAAAACGAACATATGTGTGTTCAATTCGTTTATGTTTATGAACAATCTCGTTTACTCGGTTCTCTTTTTCCTTTTATTTTATTTTTTTACATTTTAAATATCATTGAAGATATAGACTCAATTAAACAAAAGGTGAACTTTGAAGTTCAAAATATGAAATCTAAGAAACTTAAGGACTAGTTGTGTAATTTTACCATGTATGGCTTACAAATAAAAAGGTAAACATATAGCGTGGGTTATTGAACATGTTGGTAAATGTTAAACGAGCATCAAATGAGCATGTTCAAAAAAATTAAATGAATATGTTTTTTAACTCTAAACAAACAAACACTTTTAAAAATAAATAAACGAACATGAACATGTACTGAAAATTGAAATGAACACGAATAGAACACCTATAAAAATGTACAAACGAACACAAACATAATTTTGAACGTACAAACTTAGTTTATTTACACCCTCACATATATCAAAATTCGTTTAAGATCATGGACGTTAATAGATTAGCATAATCTCAAATTTAAAATGAAAATTTTAAGGTTTAATGAAAAAAAGTTCCCAAACTATATCCTAAGTTAACTTTAGGTGTCTAAATAATTTTTCGTTAAAAATAGATGAATAACATATGTTACACTTTTAGGTTCTACGCATTAATAATTGTTAAAAAACAGTTAAGTGACAGATATTAAAAAAAAGCTTAATAATATTATTAATTAAAAACATTTTTTTTTCTAAACTTACAAAAAAAAATTACAATTATAAAATCTTTCATTTCAACCCCATTACCAACTACTGTTAGCCATCACCAACCACCTTCGCTATCGTCGCATGATCACTCATCCGTTATATAACTTTTATTGTCGATCACCCCTCTTGTTGTCGTCGCAATTCCCTTGAATCCATAAAATCAAACTTGAATCTCTAAACCTAATACCAAAATCTCTAACCCTAATTTTAAATTTATCATTCTCACCCTAAGTTAACTTTATGGATTTATGGAGTCGATTGGGGGTCTAAATTCAACTGAAGAGGGGGAGGGGGAATTTTTGCACACGCGGAGAGAGGGAGATTTTTTTCTTAAAAAATGTTTTAAATAGTATTTTATTTAAAAAAATAAAAATAAAAATAAAAATAAAAATATATATATATATAAACGACATGTGTTAGATAACGACCGAATTTAATGGTCGTTACAGCCTAGGCACTTAAAAAAGTAATGACGAAAATGTTAACACATATTCTTAGCAAAAATTTCTTTAGATACTAGAAGTTAATTTAGGGTATAGTTTGAGTCATTTTTTGCATTAAGTCAAAATATAAACATGATACATGTCACTTGACGGTTTTTTTTAACGACCGTTATTGTATAGGCACCTAAAAGTGTAACAAATAAAACGTTAGACACTTATTTTTAATGAATTTTTTTAAACATCTAAAGGGTGTGTTTGTTTGCTGTAAAACCAATTACGAAATTGGTTTTCCCCGAAATCCCGTGTTTGTTTCATGTAATTCGTTTTCCGAAAAATATTTTCCCGTGTTTGTTTCACGTAATTCGTTTTCCGGAAAATATTTTCCCGTGTTTGTTTCACGTAATTCGTTTTCCGGAACGTAATTCATTTTCCTAGTAACAGAATTTCCTTTGTGTTTTCTGTAAAAATGACTTATAGATTCATTTTCCGAATTTTTCACTTCAAAGCAAAAATACTCAAAATAATTTTATTTTATGAATTTAATATTAATAAAATATTTTAATATCATTTTCATCAAAATATTAATTATTAAAATATTTAAAATATATTTATTAATATTATAATAATATAATATTATATTTTTAGTTTAATAATATAATCAATTTATAATAATATAAGATATTATATTTTTATTTTAATAATATATAATAATATTTTTATATATTTAATAATAAATAATATTATTTATATATTTAAATAATATTTTAGTAAAGATATTTAAAATATACTAATTAATATTTTTAAAATATAATTAACACTATTACTTTAATAAATAATTAATATAATTTATAATATTTTATTTCACTAAAATATACCAATATTAATATTTTTATTAATAAAATTATAAAAAAATATTTAATAATAAATAAATTATTTTAATATTTTAAAATAATAATATTAAGTTTTATTAGAAATAATATTATTTATTATATTTAATATTTGTAATAAATAATTTTTAAAAAACTCTTCAACTAGTGGAAAAAAGTTTAAATAACATCTTCCAAACATCATAAAACGTTTTCCAGATGTTTTCCAGAAATGTAATTTATTTTCCAGAAATGTAATTCATTTTCCAGAATTCAAATTCCAGTAATTCATTTTCCAGTAATTCAAATTCCAGTAATTCATTTTCCGAAAAACCAATTACAGGCAAACAAACAGACCCTAAAGTTAACTTAGAATATAATTTGAACACTTATTTTTATATTAACTCAAATTTTAATAACATATAGCAAAATTAAAAAAGAAACAGTAATTTTCGTATACAAACATATATATTTGCAAAATAGAAATCAACAAAAATGAAATTATGTGACAATTTTTAGTTGATTCATACGATGAAAAGGGAAAAAAGCATAGTATCAATGTATTAAAAACAAGCTCAAAAACTTATATTACTGGTTAGTAATTTTTTGAAAAAATAAAACTAGATTTTCATTGAATAAAATATATGTAAAGAAAAATAAAATCAAATTTTTTTCTAAAATACATGTTTCATCTTCTATAAAAATCTAGCAATTATCAATAATCTCTATGTCTTTATTCAAACGTTGACGCAATGTTGATGAAGGTGTGAAGATTGAGAAAATCAATCTGACAAATTACTTCACAAACGGTTTTGAATGCATTGACAAACTGACGTAAAAGATATTTTATTATACGAGATTGTCAACTTTTCCTCGTTAAGAGATATGTCGTGATGAACAAAAAATGAAAATACCAAACTACTATAATGATAAACAAAATCGTGTCCTAAAAGCATAAATAAAACAAAGTCAAAAACCAACAATTTAAAATATGTGAAAAGAAAAAAATAAAAGGAAGAGAATATTTATTTAAATATAAATAAAAAATTAAGAATAAAAAAAGAACAAAAAAAAGACGATAATAATTAGACCGTCCACTTAAGATGATATTTTTAAAAAAATGTTGTAATTAATAACGGAAGTTTATTCAAATTCACTTTCAATACCAATAAGAATTAATTATGGTAGATATCGAATATTCCATTTACTTGATGATATATTCTTTTCTCTTTAATAAATAAAAGTAAATTACTTTAAACAAAACTATATAAATTTATACCGCTCTTTACTAGAAGTATAAGCCATATTCCGTCTTTTATTCAATTTGGTCCTTAATATATTTTGTTTATATTTATTATCGAACTTAATAATATTACATATTAGATCCCTGAATTTGAATTTTTATCCTTTTTTACGAGACTATGTCGCACTATCGCCTAAAAGTATTACAATATTTATTTTAGTGATGACTGAGACCATCTTAGAGTACTACCATGTCAACAGAAGAAGAAAAAGAATTTGTGTCTAAAAACCAAATTGTGAAAATTGTTAAGTTCGGGACTAATATGAAAAAGCTTAGGCACCAAGTTGGAAAAACAGCCAATTTTAGGGGGCAAAATGTGACTTATCACTTAATAAAAACAAAAGTAAAACCTTTTAATGCCAAGCGGAAAAATCACAGCAATACATAACTCGAACCCGTAATTTTCTGGATCGTCCGATCTAGTGACATTTTTCTCCAACATTCTCCACCAATAACAATTCATATTCCCAGAATCCTTGAGTATATAAATTAAATTATACAAATGAATGTCGATTATACAAGTTTTTTTTTGTTGTTGGGTTTTTTATTATTAAAAATTATAAAATTAATTTTTTATTATAAAATATTATTTTATTAAATATTTTAATTATTAAAAATTATAAAATGATTGTTCGATAATTTATAAGTTCTAAATTCATCATTTTCTATAATTAATGTTTGTTTAAGCTAGAAGTTAAAACTGAAATTATGATAAAATTTAACTTTGAAATTATCTAAATTATAATTTTTAATAATTAAAACATCATTTGATAAATTTAAATAGTCGAGATTTAATAAAATAACATAAAATAATTTAATAATACTCGCCAAATTACGTCATCATACTTTACCCTATAAATTACAGCAGACGGCACCGTCAATTTTTTCAGTCTCTCCGCTCCGAGTTCTCTCGCGCTGAAGCCATGACTAGCTCCTCCTCTCATTCACGCAAGGTTTCTGTTGTTTTTCTCTTTTCTCTTTTGTTGTTTATTTTCCCTAGCTGAGGTTGCGTTCTTTCGAATTTGTTTTGATTTTTCTGTTTTCCTATTTGTTTTATTTTTTGTCCTTTTTTTTATTGTGTTTTTGCGTAGGCTTTAAGCAAGATCGCTAGTAATAGGCTCCAGAAAGAGTTAGTGGAGTGGCAAGTTAATCCACCTGCTGGATTCAAGCATAAAGTTACTGATAATCTCCAAAGGTTTTTCTTTAGTTTACTCTTATAATTGATTTTTTTCTGGATAATTCTGATAATCGAGGGATTGATTTGTGATTTGTGTCTTTAATTTGTTGGATTTCTGTTTTCTTGATGGAAAGATGGATAATCGAAGTCAACGGAGCTCCTGGAACGCTCTATGCTAATGAAACTCATCAGCTTCAGGTTGATTTTCCTGAGCATTATCCTATGGAGGCACCCCAGGTATCTCTTTTGCTTTCCGTTTCCTTTTTGTTTTGTTACTGAGTAAATAGTGAAACTGATGGTTTATGATTGGAGATTATTATGGTAATCCTATGTTCAATTGAACAGGTGATTTTTGTTCCTCCGGCGCCTCTGCATCCTCATATTTATAGCAATGGACATATTTGTTTAGGTATTGATGCAATTAGTTTTTCCTTTACCGTTGCTGGACTCGTAATTTGTTAAGGATAATTTGTTCTACATGTTGCTAACAACAATTATGTTGAACAACAAGTCTTTTTAATCTTGTTGGTTGAAGCATGTTTGATGTTTACGACTGATAGAGTGTTGGTTTGGGAATTTTTCTGAACAAATTATAATTACATGTAATCATAATTGTAGTGGTTCTTTTTTGGAATGTCACTTTGAGTTAACTGTCACCGTCTCACCTTTATGGAGAAATTGTTGTCATTAGTCATGCAGTATTTTGTAAAGTTCAATCCTGACTGTCATGATCGATTTTAAGAAATGGCATGCCGCATACTGTCTGAATGTGAGGTCATCAAATGTGCCAATGATATAGAAAATGTTTGGCACTTTCATTGTATTTAAGAGTAACTATGTAATTGATATTGCATCTTTTATCATTGTTCATAGTAGCTCTTGAGCCAATTATTTATACTTGGAACTCTTCACTTATGCTGATATGTTGCCATTTTTCATCTCTTCTTTTTTCTAGTCTAGCTGTGAGCCTGTGAGTACATCAAGCTTTGCTCAAAACTGTCAAGTATATTATACTGTCACAAAGTGATTTGTGATAAAAAATTTCCATGTTTATTTTTCAGAGGTGACTAGATAGAGATATTATTAAAAGTTTTTTGCTACTGTCCTATGCTTGGGGACACCTTGTTGGAAGTCTGAGAGAAGTTGGTTGGTCACCAAATAGAAATATTAATCTGGAAAAAATATGTATCGGTGAGACGCATAATATCTTTCACAATGTCGTATAGAAATGTTATAATCTTGTTATAGTGTCGGTGAGACGCATCAAAAAATCACCATCTTGAGGCGATCATGATGTCCGCAGAATACGAGTGAAACATCAAAAACACTGGTAAAGGAAGCATATGATAATCTAAATATAAAATATAAAAGAGTGTAACTAAATGTTTGACACTTGAGTAAATATTATGCATCTATTTTTAACGAAAAATTATTTGTACATCTAAAATTAACTTAGAATATAATTTAAACACTTACACATGATCCAAAGGATTTAAACATCATGTTCGAAAGACTAACAGATGGCAACCCCTCGCCTTCTCAAAAAGTTTTCTTCCTCTCCAGTTGTATTCAATACCCCTCTTCATTATCTCAAAAAGTTTTCTTCCTCTCCAGTTGTATTCAATACCCCTCTTCATTATCTCTGTAGATCTTTAAAGTTAATTTAGGATGAGAATAATAAATTTAGGATTAATGTTAGGAATTTAAGTATTAGGTTTAGAGAATTAAGTTTAATTAAAGTTAATTTAGGATGAGAATAATAAATTTAAGATTAATGTTAGGAATTTAAGTATTAGGTTTAGGGAATTATTTTTAAATTTCTAAATTTAAGATAATTGGGACAACAAGAGAGATGATAAAGTGGAAGTTTAAAAATGAATAAGTAATCGTTCTACGATGAAGAAGAACAACTAATAGTGAATTTGAAATAAGAGATTCTAGGATTGTGAAATTTTTTTCGTTGTTTTAAAAGAATTTGCTTTTTTAATTAATAATATTATTTAATCTTTTAAAAAATTAAATATTTTAAAAATATATAAACATGTATTCATGTATTACTTAACGACCTTTTTAATGGTCTTATGATTTATACACCTAAATATATGTATTATTTAACGACTTTTTTAACGGTCGTTATGGAGACAAAAATATTAGACGTTTATCCTTAATAAAAAAAAATCTCTAACTACACGTTAAAAAAATAAATATAAATATAATAGACCTAAAGGAGGGCGGATGGAACGTTCACTCCTTAAAATATATTTTAGATATATATATATATTTTGTATGTATTTATATTTTCGCTCCTTAAATTTTATAAGTTCTCACTAAATTCATCTCTCCTAACATAATTCCTACATCCATCCATGTATCTAATATAAACATTAGCTGTTTTCTTTAACTAACTATAGTTAGTATGTAAGCCCCTAAAAAGATAAAAGAAAAAATATTATGCATCTAAAAGGATAAAACGTTATTCATTTTAAACACCTAAAGTTAAACCATTATTTATATCTGTTCTTCCCCAGACACACATTAAGATTCTAGTTTCTATTGCAATTTAACACTGAGTCATGCAGAAGAATGCAAGGCAATCTTCTGCTGCAATTCATCTTTCCTTGCACCAAAAAGCTTGTCAATTATGCTGCCTTCTTTCAGGAAGATAAAAGTCGGCATTTTCTCAATAGCCCAATCCTGAGCCACACTCTGCAGTTATACAAACACCATAAAAAGTTTAACACAAATCAGTAGCTAAAATTACATTCTTTTTTATCAAGCATTTGCTTAAGAGATCACATCCTACCTTCAATTCATCAACATCCACCTTCAAGAATAACACGTTGGGCAGCTTCTTTGCAAGATCCGCCAGGATTGGTGCTATAAAACGGCATGGTCCGCACCATGAAGCTGTGAAATCCACCACCACCTATCCAAAAATCTAACTTTTACTACAAAATTTTCACTAATTGAAGTGAAAATAACAAATAAGTAGAAAAACCCATTTTTACAAACAATCTAAAAACACACAATTTAAGCTAATACAAAGAAACAACACTTCCTTTTTTTTCCAGTTTCTTTAGCTAACACAAAGAAAGAACATGGTTTTACCAGTTTATCGGATTTGTTAGCCGACTCGAGCTGCTGGTTCCATGAATCAACAGCGTGGCAGGCGATAACTTGTCCCTCTTCCGCCATTGTTTTCGATCTCTAAGCTGTGATAAAATGGGTGAAGCAGACTACTTTTTTCCTTCTTTCGCTTGTTTAATAATTTTCTCCCGGTGCACAAAGCCTTTATATAGTTTGGATTGTTTTTACGAAAATGCCATCGGTGATGTTCTGGAAACACTTGACGCATTCTCATATGTCAGCGAGGCAAAATCTTTGCGGTCAGCGGTGAGAATAGTTTGGAGTTAACGTTTCCGTGTAAAGGGCCCGAAGTGTCATTGAGTTTGGATAACGACACGGCGTATGCATGCGACGCGTGGTGGCTCTGACGTAAATGTACAATCGGCTAATAAACAGAATATGAATAAAAGTAATGGCAGCCCCACTTGCCAACACGTGTCATTGATTTATAATGGCTCATTGCTTAAAGCCCAAATTTTGTTTGCTAAAGCCCAACACACGAACTAAGAATTTTTATTAGAGTGATTCAGCTATGATCGTCTACTTTACTACTATAGTTTTTTCAACTAAAGCTTTTCTCGAATTTACTATAAGTTTTTAATCTTTTAAGATAAAGTTTAACCTAATATATTTTTATTATTAATTCGAGATAATTACACTGTTCGAAAAACTCTCAATCATTTGTCAATAAACATTAAAACACACATTGTAAACACCGTATTCAAACATGAGACCTCTAAAGATAACAACCATCCTTTAAAAATGGCTTCATATTTAGTATGTTAACCTAATAAAATTATTTTGTATAAATGTTAATTATAGTAACGTATGACAATGACTTCATATCTAATATGTGTATATGTAAAAGTGTATGTTATATGTAATGATGGTTAATATGTATATAAAGTTAACACTAAATTTATAAAATTAGACTATATTAATATGTTAAATTTTTCTCTGTGTCTATCTATTATATTTATATAAAGTTGAAAGTACACTGGGTTTATTGATCCGGACATCCGGATGCAACATTCTAATTGTTCGACAATCAATATTTGAAGGATTGAGTTATAGGGAGGGGTTTATGAATTTGGATCAAACTCTTGTGGGGGGGGGGTCCTTACTAGAGAATGTAGATTAATAGTGTTGCAGATTTGGGTTTGAGTAATCGGATTATCTTTCTTATGGTGTTTTAATTTTGTAAATGTGACAGTCCTTTATTGTCATATATTTTAGTTTTATATTAGAGACGGATTTAATATTAGAGATGAAAAAAGTGGGTGTAACTTTTCATACAATGACTTTATAGGTAAAATTAAAAAATTAGAGAGAGTAAAGATTGAGAAAGAAAACATAAGTTTTGAGTAGTTACATGGTTAAATGATTTCATAAAAAAGTCAATTAACGCGCTGTATCAACATTTGGTTACTACAATAACGACAATTAACGATTTGTGATTGATTTGATATTTTTAAAATTTTAATAGAAAAATAAAAATTTATTCAAATATTAGTGTCTATTTACGTGGTTTACCCTTTAAACAATTAATGCAAGTCTAATAATGCAAAAACACAGGGAATCTGAAGAGGCACGTGTAGTCAAAGCAAAGCAATAACAGTTCTATCCGATCGTACTTTAAAAGTAAAAAAGAAGGAAAAAAAACTGAAACAAAGAGAGTTACACACTGCGATCATCGCCTTCTTTCTGCGGGCTGATATATCCACGAAAGTACCCATCCACCCCTTTAATTACCTATTTATTATCAAATACTAAAACCCCAAGGCTTCGGTTCGCGTAATCTGCCTGATCATGGACGTTGATCCTCGTCTCTACGAACAAATTGTAAGTTTTTAATCTTTTCTACTCATTCTGTTTTCAATTATGAAATTTGGGCCCTTTTCGTCAAATGGTAAATATAGTTTTATGCTTTAAATATGTTTAGTTAATTGCATTGTTGCAGAACAATTTTTTTTCTAGAATAATCCCAAGCCTGATATATATATATTTTTTATTGAATTATTAGAAATTAGGGCATTGTGCAATTATGATGTTTAATCAGTTTGTTATAGTTTACTGGGTTCATGTGGATTTATTATAAACATGGGTTTTGTAAACTATGAAGTTTCGTTAGGGTTTGATTTTTTTAAACTCAATTGGGGTCGAAACTAATTCCAAGAACAATTTTGTATTAATGGATTCTGAATTATTTTTGGGTTATATTGTATATGCATTAGCTTGATTTTGTAATAGAACCAGCATGCAAAGCTATGGGTGTTATTCTGCTATGGTGACTGAATAATGGGTTAGCAAGTAAAACCTTTATTCTATGGATAGACCCTTTGTTTGGAAGGTTGCCCCTCCACAAGTTCAAGTGTTGAATATGGATTTGGAAAGATAGTTTTAGTATAATTGTAGGTCTTGGTTGCAGATTGTTTCGGGGTTGTTTGGTCTAGTGTGCATAAGACCTTGTTTCATGATTAGAGTTATATGGAATTGTTTCAGCTGTTTCCTGTAGCAATAATTTATATAGTTGGTGTAAGCTTTCGCTTTCCTGTCCTAGCCTATAGTTTATAGTGTCGCAACTTAAAATAGCATTCTTCATCTTCAGTCATTTTTCGATGAATCGTCCAGTTTGGTTTTTAAGATTTTTCAATGTACTGCATAGTACATATTCTTATGGACTCCTTTTTCATCTTCTTTTTTATAATGACACACCAGAATGGCCTTATTGATTAATATATGTTATACTTATGCCATTCCAGTCGACTTAGCTTCTTATATTTGGGCTTCCATTTCCATCTGTCTTTTACAGGCAGTCAATGATATTGACATCCACAACATTGTTATGTCATATCTTGAGCACAATTGCTTTAAAGAAACTGTGGAATCTTTTATTGCTTGTACTGGGATGAAGCAGCCTTCTGATCATCTTGAGGACATGGAAAAACGAAAAAGTAGGTGAAGTTTTTTCTCACTTGATTAATTTTATGCATAAGATATAGATAACCTAGGATTACTATTCTGGAGCAGATTTGTGCAACCATGCCATCTGTTAATTTTCAAAGATGCAAGGTTTTCTAACGACGGGGTCTATCTATCTTCTGCATTAAAGTTTTGAAAGTGAACAAGCATGCTATGTTACCCAAACTCAGGTGTGTTGGATATGGCAATGTGTCCAACATGGGTATGTTCAGTTTTTTTTCTAAAATTTTCCATGTATTTGGAGGGTCTTAGGAGGGTCATATTTTCATACCCATGTTTGTATATGCCCCAGACACGCATGTCAGATACTGGTACTTAAAGAAATATGACGAATCGGAACAACTTTGCTAGCATGCATATGGGAATGTGCCTAAAAAAGCTAAAGGGCTTTGAAGTAATTGTCATTGAAGCTGAAATATGGCTAAAAGATGGTTCAGCAACCTAGCTTACTAAATTTCTGCAAAAACAGAGAGCTTTCTTCTGCATGCTTGTTGCTAATAAATTTTCTTGAAACTACAAAAAGAGCAAGTATCAATGTTTCCAACAGAGTTGTGTACTTAACAGTGATCTTACTACCACAAATTGTTTCTTCTCTGTAGTAATTTGCTGTCACCTCTCTTTTATAGTCTTGAAATGCTGACAATTTTGTTGGAATTTTCTGCAGGAATTTATCAATTTGCCCTAGAGGGTAATGCACTTAAGGCAATTGAGTTAACTGAACAGCTAGCAACTAACTTACTAGAGAAAAATAAGGACCTGCATTTTGACCTTCTAAGCCTTTACTTTGTTGAGCTTGTATGCTCTAGGAAATGGTGAGATGAGAATAAGATCTCTTGAATTATAAATTGCAGATATTCTATAGTTGAAAATATTCACTTCTATTGCAGCACAGAAGCTCTGGAATTTGCACAGTTGAAATTGACCCCTTTTGGGAAGGAGCAAAAATATGTTGAAAAGCTCGAAGTATGTTTAGCAAATTTTCACACTTCAAATCTGTGTTGGACATTGATAGATATGCCGTTACTGCAGGATTTTATGGCTTTGCTTGCATACGAGGAACCAGAGAAATCTCCGATGTTTCACCTGCTTAGCTTGGAGTACCGGCAGCATGTGTCAGATAGTTTAAATCGAGCAATTCTTGGTAGGTTTAGTTCTTAAAACTACCTCTTGCAACAGATTTCCTTCTAGGATGTTGTGTAGATTCTTCTTCTGGCTATCTGCTGTGTTTAATGTCACTATCTGATTAGTCATTCTGCGTCATGAATAATGTCAGCTCATGCAAACCATCCAACCTACACGGCAATGGAAAGGCTGATACAACAAACAACAGTAGTTAGACAATGCTTAAATCAAGAGCATGGAAAGGTAATCCATGGAGGTTCCTTTCATGAACACCTGATCCAAATGTGACAATGAACTCGGTTCTATTTTGTAGGATGGACCTCCTCCGTTTTCTTTGAAGGACTTCCTGAGAAGCTGAAGTGCACAATACTCAAAGAATTTCTGCAGAAAACTGTTAAAGGGTGCTTATCTCTTTGTTTCCGAATGTGGTTTCGCTATAAGGTCTCGTCGTGGTTGACAGTATAGTCGTTGCCTGCGTCTCTGTAAAGGTTCTGAGAATGGCCCTTTGGGTGCATCTAAATGTTCATGCACTTTCTGAAGTTTGCCTGATTGCCTCTTTTCATGAATGGTCTTTTAAAGCTCTAATTTTGCAATGTGGGTTGCAATGGGGCCTTGTTTTTCAACTTTTTATTTTGATTTTTAGTTTATTTGTATCCGAGTGTTAATATTACATAACTATCAAATCATTTTAGGAAAAAAAACGTTTTGATAATGAAAATATATATTGTATGGTAATGCCTTTTATCATAACCATTAAGTTTAATTTTTATACTAAAGGCTAATCAAATAAGGATTTTGCAGGCTACTTATTTTTAAGGATTGGTGTTAAATCTATCCGGTACAGTAAGCAGAGTTAATAGCGCGTGGTATGATGCTCTTTTTAAATTTTGGCTTGAATAGTTAAAATTTGTTTTATGGTTGACAAAATTTTTACTTAGTTTAAACCGTTCTTGATATTAAATTTAATATTTTTCCTTTCCGAGTAAACTATACAAATGATCATTTATGTTTTTAGTATGATCAATTTTGGTTATTGATTCAAAAAATATTGTTTTAGTTTCTTACTTTATTGATCTGTTCGATTTTAATCTCTTAATCGTTAATCTTTAATGGAAGTTTGAGTTAGTAATTAAAAAATAAAAAATCCATGTGAATCTACTCATCACCACCTTATAAATATAAAATAAATCATTGAAGATAAAAAAAGGAAATCAAAATGTTGGAGTGAAGACTCGAACCTATGAAAATAATACTTGACTATGATGGCATATGATTTTGGATGGAAAGAAAAAACAGCATGTCTTTTGTCATCATACATCATAATGGTTTCCACCATTAACTCCATAATTTTCCCCATATCTTTTATCTCAAAATCAAACCATCAAATCAACATAAGAAAAAGGATATGGGAGCATCATCATCAACACTTCAAAAAAAAGCTTCTCCTTTGTCTTCTTTGCTACTTAGAGAAAGCCATATTAATTAGGATGTCTAAGGAAATGCAACTTAGTAGAAAGTTGAGAAAATGTGTTACTGAAAATATTAATATTTTTTAATATTTTCGGTAGAGCGTTACTTAAAATGTTATTTTTTCTAACAGAAATATTAATAGCGGACGTTACCTAAAATGTTATTTTTTTCTACCGAAAATATTCATTTTAGGTAACGAAATTAATATTTTCAGTAGAAAAAATAACATTTTAGATAACACTCTACCGAAAATATTAAAAAATATTAATATTTTTGATAACGCTTTTTCTTAGTTTCATATTAGGTTCCAGCAGAACTAGCCCTAATAAAGAGAACACACAAGCTTTATGAAATAATGGTACTGTCCGCCACCTCCCATTTGTCGTAGTTTCCACCATGATTAAAAGGTTATGGGGCATTTGAAGTTAAACATTTTCCGCTGAGTGGTGGAGTAATGGCTGAGTTAGAGATGTTCGGCTGTTGTTGCCGTGCTCCGGTGTTTGTTCAAGGCCTCTCTTTTCTTGTGCTGCGAATTTCCTCTCTTCGCTTTTGCCCCATAGCACTAAATACAGTCCGACTATAATCAGCACTGCTCCAATGATCCTGCAGGCAAAACATGTCAAAATTTATATAAATATATATAACAGTTTATATACAAAAAAAATATGGAGCGAATTAAGCACTTACCCTCCCAAATAGAACTCTTCCCCTAAAACAATGGAAGCCATGATAGCAAAGACAAGAGTCTGAACAGGTTGATAAACAGCAACGAAAACAGGGCCGCCTCTGTCAATGCACCATATCTGTACGGCGAATGCAATCCCTGATGCCACCACTCCCTGCATGTTTTACGCACAAATTTAATTTTTGATCACTTAATCGATTCTATAGTTTTAAGGGAGTGATGATAATACACTGACCGCGTAGAGAATAGTGAAGAGTTCCCCGCCGGAGTGGAACATCCAAGCTTGGGAGTCTCTCTCGAAAACTAGTGCAATGACGAGGAACCTAATGAGACCGAAGAAACATGTGTAGAATGTAACGGAGAGCCGAGCCGGGTACTTCTTTAACACCGGCCAAGCGGACCAGGACAGACAATGGCCGATTAGATAGAGACAACCGAGGGTCCAGTTCTTTCCATTTGCGTCTCCCAATGGAACAAACATTGGTGTGGGTTTGTTCAGAGGTGGAACCGGGGTGTATATTGTTGGACCTTTGTATAGTGTTATAACTGATGCTCCGGCCACACACAGAATTGTTCCAATAACCTTGGATATCCCATCTTTTCTATCTAACCTCACTTTCTCTATCCTGGAATTAACAACAACAACAATCACAACATGATTTCATGTATGTATGTATATGGATGAGAAACGGTCTCTGATGCTTTTGTAGAGAAAGGAGTTGGTCATGGAGGATGAAGAAAGTGTTATAGAGGTCGTGAGGGTTCCAATCCCTTTTCCAGTCTTGATTGGGATATTTATTCCGGCTTTTAGTGCATGTGTAAGTAATAGGATTATTATGACTATTTATAGACACATATTTGATTGTCAAACTTTAGATTAAATTATAATAAACACGTGAATCTGTTGAAGATTTTGTCTATATATATTGTAGTTAACTAAGAAACTTATTTGCAGAGAATATAAGTCTGAAGTTTGGAAAGATCTAAAGACTTTAGTTGATGGAGAGCTGACAGTTTTTACAATATGTATAGGGTTACCTTAGTATGGCTGCCATCAGAAAGGTAATGGCAGGAACAGAGTTTTGGATTGCTGATGCAAAAGTTGGTGATGTGTTGTCTAAGCCTAACAAGTAGAAGCCTTGATTAGCTGTGATTCTGTCATGTAAAAAGAAAACCAGAAAATTATTTTTGTTTTTATTATGCCATAACTATAGTAAAGAGTTCTAAGAACACGGTCTTGCATTACCCAACAAGAGCTAGGAGGAAGAACTGCAGAAGAAAATTTATGGTAATGGCTGGTCTCTCCTTCCTGGACAAAGAACAAACATTTGAAAGAACAAAAAAGCAAGTTACTGTTTTTATAAATCAATGTGTTTTGAACGAAAAATGAGTTGAATGAATTACTTTTCAAGAAAAAAAGCAAAGGGTAAGAGCAGAAGCAAAGCAATGATGTTCCTATAAACTGGGAACACAAGTTTGCTAACGCCCATATTAAGGGCGGCTCTTGACACCACATGGAACCCCGCATAACCGAATTGCAAGCCAGCATCGCCATATGTAGCTGAAGCCTTTCGGGGACCGAACACATCATCCTCTTGGCAGAGGCTGAACCCCAAGCGTCGGCCATTGAAGCACAGTCTGATCTGAGATGAACACAAATGAAAGTAGTCGAGGATGGGGTGATATGAATGAATGAAAATGGTTGGTATAAATATAGTTTAATGTGGATGGTTTACATCCATGGGGCAGCAAAAAAATGATACAAGTCAAAACTGTTCATAGTCCTTTTGTAAGATTGTTGGTTGTCTCCCACATTCTTTTTCCCTTCGAACTGACAAGACAACCCTAATCGCGCTACTGCAACAACATGAATAGAAAGTAATGAAAAAGAAAAAGAGATGATTATATATAATTATTACACAGTATTATAGTATAATCCAACAGCTTCTGTTTTGGCTCCATGCCATTAATGATTATGATCGGAGGTAATCAAATATAAAGAGAAAAGCCATGGTCGCACGAGGGGTGGAAAGCTCCACCTACACAATTACTATGTCTAAGCTTTACATTTTCTTGTATTGTTTCTTCATTATTGTATAAATAGCCTTCGAGACATGAATATCAGATGCGATTTTATTGAATTAATCTCCTCGGTCGATAACGTTTCACTTTCTTTAATTTAAATAAAAAATTACGGCCACTAACAAAAAAATAACCGTTGATCAATATTTTTGTTAAAAAAGAATCAATCATTAACAAGAAAATAAATATTAGTCTAGATTATGGGACGTTCGGGGATTTCAACCCTTTTATTAGTCTTTCTTGAGTATTATAGTAGTTCTAGTTGGTTGCGTTATGTATAAGATAATTATGATTACTTATAGACTAACGAATTAGATAAATCTGATAATTAGATTTTAAATTTCGTTAAAACAAATCATATATATATATGTTAAAGTTTTGTCTATGCAATGTAGTTAATTCACAAGCCTATGTACAAAGAATATGGGCTCTTTGAATACTCCTATAACAAAAAAAATATGTCTAAAGATATATCTTGACAAAAAATTGACATATTTCAAAAATTATTTTTCTAAAATATAACATATCTCTATATCAACAGAATTCTAGGTTTTGTGAACTCAAATTCATTTGACCCCTCCTAATCGAGATCACCATCATTATAAAATTCAAGAAAAAAAAAAAGGGCTGTCTATGGGGAGAAAAGAAAGGGAATGTGTTAAACCTTTTACATCTTCAAACTACGTACATTTGAATCTGACAAAAAATGCTTTAATCTTTACGTTTATTTTTAACAAGGATCGGTGAGTCTAGCAAATGTAAGGCGAAAGAGAAAAAGGAAACTGAGTCTGACTCGGCCTGCATGAAGTGGTCGGAAATCGACATGACCAACCCACTTGTGATGTTAATTGCATTTTATGTACATCGCTGACAGCCACAACAGATTTTGTTCGCACGAGAGAATCTTCCGTTCCACACTCTGGTCGAAATCTGAGTCCACTCGTTTGACTGAATTTCAGCCTTTTTCTTTTTTTTGTAAAAAATAAAAATAAAAGGCATTTCACGACAAATGAGACATATGTTTATTATTTTAATATTTTTCTTATAAAATTATTGTGTGATTTTAAATGTATAGTTTCTTATTTTAATGATTATAAAAAAAATACTTTTATTATATATTTTAATTTATGATTGTGATTGTAAATTTTTATTACCATTTTTATTTTTTTATTTTTAATAAAACTAACAACTTCTATCTTATTAAAGAAATAGTGATTTGATCACTCAACTATGTTCAATTCTATAATATTATTCTTTAAAAAAGTTTATTATCAATTTGATATCTTATTTATGTGATCTTTTAATATATCACCCATTATAGTTATAATTGAATGACGTAGACTAGTTGACTAATAAGTAACTAACATGTGACATATGATTTGAGAAAATGACATGATTTCTTCACGAAAAATAAATTGAGGAAATAAAGATAAAAATAAAGGAAAATGTAATTTATCACAGTTGGAAAATTATATAATTTTTTATATTTTTTCCTCTCAAATCATATGTAACGTATTAGTCACTTATTAGTCAATCGATTTAATTGTGACAAATAATTGGTGATATGTTAGATGGTCAATAAGTTAAGGTGTCAAATTGATAATAAAAATTCTTGAAACGTCACATTATTAAATGGTGTATAATTGAGGGGTCAAATTACTATTTATCCAAATTTATAAGGAAAAATTAAATGGTATCTCTTTTTTCGACCCAATCTTCCAATTTGATTGTGGAGATGATTTATAAAATTAAATATCAACTTGAGAATTTGAATTTTAAAGGACGAATTTAAAAGTTTCAAATGCATTATTTGGCCATTATATTATTCAATTTAACAACACAACTAATTGACTCCAGTTGTTAAAAAGACAAAACAAAATTGGACTTAAGCATAGTTTTACAGTTCATGTATAGCCGATGAAATGTCCAAAATCAAAGCTCATTCTTATGTAATGATGATGGATGAAGGCAAGCATGCAGCATATCCCTGATTAATGCATATAGGGATGGATCGAGGCGGGAACGGGTGAAGGCGGTCGTTTCCTATAAAATTTTTAAAATCTCTTATATTTTAAATTATTTCTTTGTATTTTTTATTGATAATCCGTTTTCATCCCCTTAAAACTTTATAAGTTCATCATCTTTTAAAATTTATCCCATCTAGCATAGAATCTTACATCCGTCCTTGAATACATATAATTACTAATGGTAATGTTTGCTAAGCACTTATGCTACAATATTATTGGCTAAGACTCTGAAAATTGTTTATGAGATGTGCTTTTTTTTTTTTACCAAAGTTGAATCTCGTGTGGTTTAAAACATTATTTCCACAACATATAACATGTTGTCAACCACTTTCCAGACAATGTAAATTACCTTTGATTGCTTAATTTCCAATGTCACAGATGAAAAACATGAGAATACCAAGAGTAACTAAAGTTTTATATTGTTGGAGTTTTATTCATTCTATCAAACAAGGAAAAGTTAATAATAGATATTTAGTCTTGGATCAATTTTATTTATTATTATTTAGTACAGGTAAAAAGAACTCTTAATTACTCTCAATTTTGAAATTATATAAATTTATTATCTTAAAAAATAATTTAATTCACCTACAACTAGTTGATCTAGTGGGATGAAGCACTAGATTCCTTAAGCAAAGTCAAGTCGAATCTTGACATTTACGAATGGAGCAAACTGGGTTGGGAGGGTCACCTTTGTCTCTTCAGTATCCGATCCGAATTAGTTGATTAATAGGTCTGAAAGTATCATATAGCGTAATTAATAAAGCAAGATGAATTCCATTAGTTTTTAGGCTTAGGTTTCCATATGGCTTTCCTACATCTCTTGACAAATCTGTATTGGTTGAGCGGAAATAAAAAGATGAAACAATTTCAGCGTAAAAGTGTGGTTTTGATCCCTAAGAAGATATGGTGGTGACAACTTCCAATATATTTTTCTAATCAAAAACCAGTCTTTGTTGGTTCGTCTTTCTTTTGTCAATGTTGGCTACCCATCTCTTTCGTGGGTTGTTTTCACGGGCAAAATAACAAAGTCATGCATGTACATTGCCATTCACTTTTTGAGTTTGAAAGAAAGGGACACCTTTAATGGGGCAGTACCCTACATCAATATACCAGATAAAGCCCTCCAAGGTCATTTTGAGCAGTTAGAACTCTTAATCGTTCATGTTATTTGAGAAGATGGTAATGGAATCTTTAGGTAGAAGAAGATGGGGTTGAAGGGTTGGTCGTCGGCAAGACATCTTTGTTTGTCTCGTACAAACATTAGTTTGGTTAATACATTATTACATAAGTATTAATACAAGAAAAAAAGTTATTTATTATATGTGTTGATAGATAGTTTGTCATAATATAAAGAATATTTAGTATAAAATTAAACTTGAAGTTAGAAAACATTATTAAAAACTCAAATGAAAAATAATTCACATTCAAAAAAATATATATTCCTTCTTTTTGTTCAATCAAGATTATGAAAGTGATTAAAACTTACAAAGTGAAGCTTAACTTATTATATACTAAAACATAAGAAAAATGTAACACTCATAAAATGTGGAGTATGATTCATTTCAACTAATTAAACGAGACTCATCATATATCTTTATTATTTATAAAAAAAAACTTATTAAATTTGATGTCACGAGTCAAATCTCACTAATTCAATTAGAAAAAAATAAAAAAAATAAAGACAAATATAATATTAATATTATAATTAAAAAATGTCCACTAGGGTAAAGTACATAACGATCCCCCGACTATAGAGTGTTGCCTTGTTGAATCCTCTAACTATTAAAGTTACAAATTGGTCTCCTGACTACAAGACATTATTTTGTTGAGTCTACCGACTATTAAAAGTTACAAAATAGTCACCCGACTATTCATATATTCCAAAATGATAATTTTATGTTAAAAAATTGATATTTGTCTGAGCTAATGTTAACATACTGAATAAAATATGATAAAATCATATTTTAATGATATATATTAGCACCGCCACAACTTTCAAGCATTGACTCGTCAACACAATGTTTCAAGCACTAGCTTGACGTCGTAATGTAAACGGAGATTCAATTCACAAAATATAACTAAAATGATTATAAGATCAGATTATACCATATCTCAATCAACACGTTAACGTTAATTCGTAATTCTATAAACTTATAACATATCTATTTTACTTCTAATTTTTTTAAAATTTTGATTTTTCATTCATTTTATGAGTAATTCTAACTCTAATCTTATCCATTGATCTTCAACCCTGACAAACACGCATGAATATCACAATATGATGTTGAAGAAAGCAATCCCAATGCAGTTATGCAAGCAGCACTAAAATGCAAATACACATGAATATCACAATAAAAAAGGAATTTTATTTGTTCCATTGAAGAATGTTTGAACCGTGGCTATTCCCTTTTCCCAGACAAATTGCCTATAATCCCCCCTTAATTCGTTTTGCTTAAATCATATTCTTAAGCTGAAAAATGAATATTATTCCCGATACTCTTCATGAGGGGTTCCTTTTGACTATCCCCTTCAATTGGGAATAAGAAAGGAAAAGCAATGTAAAATTACAGGTAGATATAAGCTATTCAGCTCCTGTGTCCTCCGCAGATCTTTTATACTCTGGCTTAAGTTCATAAGTTCCTTGGTTGGAACCTCTCTTATTGTACACGCACAGCTCATTCAGTATCTCTTTCAGGAATTGCTGCAAATTGAGTAAAGCAGAAACTGTCAAACATACAAAATACCCGCTAATAAAGCACATTCAGACATTATTGTACAAGGTAAAATGAACCACCAAAAAGAGTGGTTGTCTGCAACTTCTTGGCGACAAGTCCTTTTCATTTTTAAAAGCAATTTGCAATTTCTAAGAGATTGGTGCAATCGAATATTGCAACAGAAAACTCAAATCACCATTATCGACCATAAACTATATTCAGTTTGAAGAGGAAGAGAAGAAACATAGCTAAAAGTAATAGGAAGAAAGGTGAGAGGCTTACAGCAGGCTGATCAGTCTCTTGGACAAGTTGTTTTAAAGCCCAATTTGGTTGTCTTTCAAACAGCTTGAACATTATATCTTCCAATTCCCCACGATCCCTTCTGGTTCTTTTCACTTCCGGTTGTTTAACAGGTGTTGTTTTCTTCTTATCCTGCACAGGGATGATTGAAAATAAGATGTGTTAATGTATCCTTCCAACTCTGTCCTCTTTTACATTCAAGAGCAAAAAATGACTAATATCATTCTCTAAACACCACGTTTTAAAGTACCTTGGAGTTGGATGAAATCAGACCGACCATTCCAGGCATTGGCCTCATGTGCACTCCACGGTCATTATCAATAACCTTTATAACACATCAAGACACATAAGTTACAGATTTGGAACCATAATATGTTGACATAAAAATGCCTAAGCCAAGCGAATGCATACTCACTGACCTACCTGTATTTGTCTATTCTTGATCATGGACTTATTAGTCCTTTCACGACACAGCCTCCCATACTCCTCGAGGTTTTCCTCGTGAGGTTTCATATCAAATTTATGCTCAATTTTTCCCTCCATTGCAAGCCTACCTATAATGAAAATAACCAAAAAGATAGCTCAAGTATAATCACAGATGCAATTCTCTACCTCTCTCCCTCAAAGAGAGAGAGAGAGAGAGACGGAAAATGAAAATGTCCTAGCTCCTAGCATGCCAGAGTTACGGTTGTTTGTTTTCCCACAATTATGTGCAGTAACCTTCTGCACATAGCCCCAGAGTATGTTTCCCCACCCTTTCTTGCGTTGGTGAATGTGATAGACTAGCATCATACATTTTAGAAAGAGTTGTACTCCTTGAATGAACTCCAACTTAAACTGATCAAATTTTCTTCACAATACACATTCGATCTCAACATTAACATTAAAAACTACTCCAAAAACATTCTAAATACATATTTAGCATTTAGCAAGAGTGATGGGCTTAATAGCACCAAACATTTCAGAAAGAGTTGCACTCCATGAACAAGCTCCAACTTAAACTGATCAAATATTCTTCACAACGCACATTCAACATGCTCATTAAAGAACAACTACAAAATAAATACTAAATAAGCATTTTAAGGTATACATAATCTTCCCTTATTATCTCTTTACCAATAATAGATCCTCCATACTAAACTTTGTGGACATGATACCACTTCTTAATATGCACATTATACTTATTAAACCATCCTTGCTATACAACAGCAAGTGCACCATGTAATTAAGAAAATATTAATTAAATCATGGAAGCAAGAGAAAGATCCGGCATAGTTTTTATAAAAAAAAACAGCATCTTGGATTAAACTGCCACTTCGAATTACCGAACAAAGTGACGATGAAAAAGGATTGAATCAGATAACACAAACAAAAATCAACACTCGAGAAGCAATAGAAACTAAAGGCCACAACTCTTACCCTGAGTTGTTTCAGAAAAGACACACATAGGAACAAAGTCTTTAAACATATTCAAGTCGTAACTTTTCGGTATATTTCCAATCTCAGATCCAGCCATCTCCATAGTAAACTGATAATCAAATTCATGAACTCGTAAGAAACAAGAAAACAAAGGTAATAGCATATTTCAAGACCCGCGCAACACATGCCATATGGCCCATATAAAATCTTTTACTACAATTAATGGGCCAATTAAAGATTATTCCAAAATGGGTGCATCTAAAATTTGTGATTAAGTGCTCAAGCTGCAATCTATGGTCAAAAAGCTCATCATCTTCAAGTTGTTAGTGGTTAACAGTACCTGCATAGAAGAAGGGTCGTCGGGTTTGCGAGGGTCGAGAGAGAGGACAACCTTGGCAACGGGCTGAGGATCGGAAGAAGAAGCGGTCTGAGCCTTCCATGATTTGGCCACCACGACCGGACACTTCATTAACCAAACGGATCTATCAGCTTTTCCGGTCTCCACAAAGCCGCCATTACTGAGATCGCCGTTCATCTTCAAGCTCTTCCTTTGCTTTTCAGCTTCTGTAAACCGTTGAAAATTTTATCTTATTTCACGTTTACTCGTAATGGCAATGTCTTGGGTCGGTTCCCCGGTTTCTTCTAATTTCCCTTCTACTTTCCCTTTCCACGAAACCGGCAGTATTATTTTCTCTGTCTTCGACAGTTTTTGGAGGGATGTATTTGACCCTGACGAACCGGAGGGAACGGATCTAGGGAACTGGCTTTGCTTTGCTTTGTCGTAAAAGCTAGTAATGCTCTCATAAATTGAGAGAATTTCGGTTGAAGTTGGATCCTAAATATGCTTCTAAATAGTTACTATTATAAAACTTAGACCTACCGAAAATGCCTTATAATATACGATTTTAATCAAAAAAAAATTTGATTTGTCAAAATGACCAACAAAATCGCAACGCGAACTCTAATTTTTCAACTCAGTTTTCAAATTCGCAATGCGAATATCCAAATTTGCAACGCGATTTTGAAAAATGTGTTACGATAGTTAAAATGTGTTGCGAGAGTTTGAAAAACGTGTTATTACGATAGTGAAAAAGTGTTGCGATAGTGAAAAATCCAAAATAAGTTTACATTTTAACTATTTTAAATTCACGTGGAGTTTGAAACAATAAAGAATGTGTTGCGATAGTGTAACAGATTCCCAAGCCATTTGTAAGACCTTAGTTTGAAACAATAAAGAATGTGTTGCGATAGTGTAAAAGATTCTCAAGTGTTGGCAATGTTCAATCCCACATAGTATTGGAAATACTATTGGGAATGGGTATTTAAGGCTTGGATTTCCCACTTCCTTGTTGAGTGGAAGAGAATAAGGGGGACTCTCGAGCACCGCCGCCGCCGCCGTCCCGTCTCGTCTCGGGTCGTGGTCGTGGTAATACGTGTCTTTGACACGTCCGCGCGGATACTATCTTTTTAGAGAAATTCTTAAGAAACAAATGCAATACCACCAGTCGTTGCGATCGCAACGAATTTGGAAAATCGCAACGCGAACTTCGACTATTACAACGTGAACTTGGACTATTGCAACGAATTTGGACTAACGTAAATTTGGAAAATCGCAACGCGAACTTGGACTATCGCAAAATCGCGTTGCGAATTTGGAAACTCAGTTGAAAAATTATAGTTCGCGTTGCGATTTTGTTGGTTATTTTGGCAAATCCAAAAAAAGTTGGTTAAAATCGTATTTTATAAGGCATTTTCGGTCACTGAGGTTATTTTCTCTAAAACTTAACCATTATTACAAAGCATAATATAATTAATAATTAAAATGTAATTTGTTTCGATCGTGAAGTAGGTGAAGAAAGCGAAGATGATATTCATTCTCAATCGTGATTGAGATGTATTTATAGTGATAATCAGTTAAAGACATAGGATTACTATCACTATTCGTAAGTCAACAAGTTAAACAGATCTGATTATTATATATTGAATTTCACTCTGATAGATTACGTGAATCGATTAGAGATTTTGTTTATGTATTGTAGTTGATTCTAAATTTATGATACTCGTATATTTGGAAAATATGAATTCCTTAAAAGTTTATATAGGTAAAAGAGTCTATTCGAAAATCTCGATTGATGAAAAACTAACTGTTTCCAAGGATAATATCTAGAAGTATAAAATATCTAAATTAAGCGTAAACATAATAAAATTATACGAATAAAATTTATATTTATGCATAATGAAAGAGGCCATATTATTTTATTGATGAATTATACTTTAATATATTTTTAATAAATTCAAAAGGTTGGAATAGTTTAAATATAAATTTCTTAATCCAATATCCTTAATAATTATTTACTATTCTTACCCCCATCATTGCTTTTAATCCGATTGAAATAGTCTTATCGCCTACCTAAATAAACTCTAAATGTATGATATCAACCAATATTTGTTATATTTTGTGTTCTCATTTCGATTATGTAAATATGAATACAACACAAAATATTAACGTCGTATATGTTGACAATTGTTGCATGACATTCTAGATGGCAGAAAAGGTGACAATTGTTGTATGGCATTCTAGATGGCAGGCTGAATTTCAAATTAGACGGCAGTTTTTGAATTCAAAGTAGTCAACCAATATTGTTGAAATTGGTAAAGGGATAATTATCAAATTGAGTCCTTGAACTTTAGGATATTTATAAAATTAGTCCTTAAGCTTCAACTATAAATACCCTAACACATTTAGCTTCAAAATCATCCCAAATCATTTCTTTCTCCCAATACTAGAGAGCTTTCTTGTGAGTAGTGAGTGTTTTGTAAACACCTGTAAATTTTTTCAAATTAGAAAAAAATCTACAGCAGTCCGAAGACGTAGACATAATTGGCTGAACTCCGTTATCAGTTTCAGGTATTATTTTTCCACTTTTATTTTGTATTCTCACTAATCTGTTTATAGGGAAATTACTCGTACTCGTTTTATTTCCCAACAACTGGCATCAAAGCTTTTGGTGGTTAATTTTGTCAGTTTTTTCTGCAGGTTACTATTTATTACTATTCACATGAATAGCAAATTTCGTGAATAGTAAAAATTTTGTCGACGATACGAATTTATCGACGAAGGTGTTCCAATACACGGTGGTTCGTAGAAATTATCAGAAACGATCCAAACAAAGCCATATTCGAGTGGGAGCGATGGTTGCAGACGAAGGGAATGTGAAAATTGAAAAGTTCGATGGTGCGGACTTTGGCTTTTGGAAAATGCAGATTGAAGATTTTTTGTACCAGAAAAATCTATATCAATCTCTCTCAGGAAAGCAACCATAGGGCATGAAGAATGAAGACTGGGCTCTTCTCAACAGACAAGCCCTCGGAGTTATCCGACTGACGTTATCCCGAAATGTTGCTTTCAACATAGCAAAGGAAAAGACCACGGCGGGTCTTATGGCGACTCTCTCCAGTATGTATGAGAAGCCACCGGCCTCAAACAAAGTTCACTTGATGAGGCGATTATTCAATTTGCGGATGGAGGAAGGGGAATCAGTGACTCAACACCTAAATGAACTCAACACAATCATAACCCAATTGAGTTCCGTGGAAATTGAATTCAATGATGAAGTTCAAGCTTTAATTCTCTTATCATCTCTACCAGATAGTTGGAATGCTACTGTTACAACAGTCAGCAGCTCGTCGGAAAACAACAAATTAAAATTCGACGATATTCGAGATCTGGTATTGAGTGAAGAAATTCGACGGAGAGAATCGGGTGAAGCGTCAAGCTCCTCAGCCTTGCACACTGAGTCTAGAGGGAGAACTTCAGAAAGAAATTCAAATCGTGGCAGATCGAAATCCAGAAGGGGAAAATCAAGAACGAGAAATAAATATTTTATCTGTTATAATTGTGGTAAGAAGGGTCACTTTAAAAGAGATTGTCGAGCACTGAAGAAAGATATCGGCGCACATGAAACCAACATGACAGAGGAGACATGTGATACCATGATTCTAAGCGTCAATAGTTTGATTGAATCATGGATCTTGGATTCAGGAGCATCTTTCCACTCCACCCCATGCCAAGAAATCATGGAGAACTATGTCAGTGTTGATTTTGGAAGGTTCATCTAGCTGATCATGAAACCTTGAAGATCGTCGAAAAAGGAGACATCTGATTAAAGTTGCCAAACCAGACCACCTGGAAGCTGAAAGGAGTAAGACATATTCCTGGCCTCAAAAGAAATTTGATTTTTGTAGGACAGCTTGATGGAGAATGATATAATACAACCTTTTTAGGTTGTGAATAGAATATTACCAAATGAGTACTTGTCATTGCTCGTTGTAATAAGACTGCTACTCTCTATATAACCTCAAACATGGAGAATATCATTGTAGCAACAGATGCTGATGGAAAATCAAACCTACGGCACCAAAGGCTTGGCCATATGAGCGAGAAAGGAATGAAGATACTTTTTTTCAAAATGGAAGCTGCCAGATCTAAAGAATATAGATGTTGGACTATGTGGGATTGTATATTTGGAAAACAAAAGAAAGTCAGCTTTGCAAAGATTGACAAGAAACCCAAGGTAAAAAAGTTAGAGTTGGTTCATACTGATATATGGGAACCATCTCTAGTTCCATATCTTGTAGGCTCACTATATTATGTCACATTCATCGATGATTCTACAAGGAAGGTGTGTGTTTATTTTCTGACGAAGAAATTAGAAGTCTTTGATACCTTTAGAAAATGGAAGGTTGTGGTGGAAAATGAGATTGGTTTGAAAGTCAAGCGGTTGAGGTCTGATAATGGAGGAGATTATAGAAATAGGAGATTCAGAGATTTTTGCGCAAACAATGGGATCAAGATGGAGACAACAGTTCCCATGACACCGTAACAGAATGGCGTAGCAGAGCGCATGAACAGAACTCTGAATGAACGTTCCAGAAGCATGAGGATACATGTCGGATTGCCCAAATTTCTATGGGCTGAAGCTATCAACACTGCAACTTACCAAATTTCTAGCGCTAGCACAAGTTCCTTTGGATGGTGGAATTCCAGAGGAAGTTTGGAGCAAGAAAGAAATAAATCTTTCACACTTAAGAGTGTTTGGTTGTATTTCTTATGTACACATAAATTTTGTTGAAAGAAGTAAACTTGATGCCAAGTCCAACAAATGTGTCTTTGTTGGTTATGGTGGTGATGATTTCGGTTACCGGTTTTGGGACTATGAAAACCGAAAGATCATCAGAAGCAAAGATGTCATTTTCAATGAGAATGTGATGTACAAAGATAGATCAACCATAGAATCAAGTAGCTCCAACACCGAAGCTGAAACAAAGGAATTAGCTGAGTTTGATGAGATTTCTAGAAATGATGTTCAGATCAGTCCTCAAGCAGTTCAAGAAGAACCAGGCACACTAGAACTGAGACTCTCCTCCAGAATTCCTAAACCAAACCAACGTTATTCGCCTTCTTTGCACTACTTGTTGCTGACTGACAATGGTGAACCGGAGTGCTATGATGAAGCAATGCAGGTGGAGGATTCAGTCAAGTGGGATTCTTCCATGAAAGATGACATGGACTTGCTTATGTCGAATCATATGTGAGAATTAACTGAATTACCACC